CGGGTCTGAAGTAAATTCATTAGGCTGGATGCTTAGGGGGCCTGCGTTGTCAAAGGAATCAAAGGAAGCGCCTCATTTAGATTGTGGGCTTGAGCCTGAATCCAAGTAGTCTAGCTATTCACAAAACCCTTTGTTTAGAGTAGTGAAATTATCTGAATCACTTCATCCAGTTGATCCAGATCACTTACCTCACCAAATCAAGGAGATGGCCAATCAAACTGATTTACTGAAAACTAATCCTAAAACCTAAGCACTATTAGGTTGGGTACATTGCGGATATGAAGCCTGAATCCAATCAATCAAAATAGTCAATCTTCAGAGCTTGATTAGTTAGATCGGCTATGGGATTTGTAATCTCAGTCATGTGATTTCCAGTGGTATCATGCTGATTCCGTTAGTTACTAGGTCTGAATCCAAGTAACCAAGTAACTGGGTTGTTTACACGAACACAATTATCCCAATGAATAACAACAATCGGATTCATCTAACTATTGGATGATCTTAGAATTACATTACTTGGACATCATCCGATTGAGTAGATTCCAATCAATTAAGTGCACCCATACCAGCCTTAACCTTGACACTTCATGTGCATGAAACGGAAGGATTCTGGAGAAGCCCATTGCAGGGTGTTCATTTGTGCCTTTTTGAAGGAGGATGAGAGAAACCAAACATGATGGGGAAACCAAAATTCACCGAGATTTGCAATGTCCTTGAATTAACACATCATCTGAAGAGGGTAGGTAACAAACCATGGAAAATGAGGTGTCAAGATTGGTTACGATAGTCGAGTTGAGTACCACTGGCAGCTTTTGCTCCGGATTACACACGAAGAAGGAATCAAGTTCGAATGGGAATCAAATGAGGTATCAAGTTTAATTCAAATCGCATGGGAGCCAATTTCGTTCTTGAGGGCCAGCCAAGTTTGCTGAACCAGGTGATAATCAAGCGTCCACCCCCTTCTACGCCCGGCCATTTGGCAGCAAGCCAGTCAGGAGCACCGAAAGCTGTTAGCGCTCTGGTTCCGCAGAGGTTTTTCTAGCACCACGCTGTACCTGGCCTGTACCGCAAGATATGTAATGTAATCTGGACATCACAAAGTGTTGTCCTTAGCCCTGGCAGGATTGGCCAGATCCGATATCCTGGCATCACCACACAAAGATTAAAAATTAATTCCTTCTGAACAGGTTTGCACACACACATTGCACACGCCTAAGCTCTGAGCCTTGTCCTGAAACTTGGAGTACACAGCTTGAAACAGCTTGAACGCTCAACATTACTGTTGCCAGTGAAGTCTTGAGCGCCGCGCGCGCAGCGCGCGCACAATGGATCTCGAAAGCGAGTGTAATCACTTGCATCCACGCCACTTTTAGCAGCGTAAGTCCGTGTTTGGGGGTTTCAGCGAAAGGGGCTTCAGGAAAACATGCATGTTCAGAGCGGCCGTGCGGTGTTGATAAGGTGCCATCAGGCATCAAGTGAAGGCAAGAAAACAAGCGGCCAGGATGCACTTGGCTTGCAAGCTGCCAGGTGTCGAGGTCAAAGGTCCAACGGGTTGATTCAAGTCATTAAATGTTGTGACAAACATGCCTTTGGTATTTTCATTTTTGGGTATCGCCATCAATAACGGCCAAAGACAACACAGAGGGCCACACTTGTTTGGGTTTTCAAAGTTCTTTCCATTTCTGGTTTTGCGATCTGAGTTCGAATGAAATTTTCAGTTTGTGGTTTGTTGTATGTAGGACTTAAAGCGATCCAACTAAATTGGTATGTAGACATGTTAGCGGCAGAGTGACAGGCCACGAATGTCTTAATAAAAGGACATTGCAAATCTGAAGGCTCAATAAACCCTAAACCGCAGCACTCTCTGCCCGCGGCAGCTCCAGCCCTCAGTGAAAAATGCTACAACAAGAGAAACTGTACTCGCTTGGAAAAGAGCCGTAGCAACTCACCGCTCCGAATGAGTAGCAAAAAAAAGAGCAATCATAATAATAACAGTCAGAATTATAATCATAATAGTGGTAGTCCTGATAGTAATAGTACAAGCAATAATCATAGTAATGGTAATAGTAATGGTAATAGTAATTGTAATGTACAGCGCCAGGAACCGGCTTCGTAGCCCAGAGTTAGGGGTAAGGGAATATATTGGGGATATATAACTACGATAATACAGTGGGGTTATATTGGGATAATCTGGAAAATAAGATGGAATCTGCTATATTATTTAGGTTTCAGGGTTTGGGGCTCAGGTCAGCTCCCAATACAGCAACGACATCTGCAAATGTTTTTTGGGTTAGCGCAAAACTTGTGAAATCACTTGCGCTTCCTGCTTGAAAAACCCATCATAGCGTAAAGTATCAACTGCTAGAAACAGAGCTGACGCATACTCGGAACGACCCCGTTAGGCACCGCAAGGATAGGCCTTCAGGTTAGCAGGTTATGTCGCCTCCCTTTTTTCTTGGTTGCATTCCAATTCTGTCATCATCATGAATCATGCCCTCGGTTACTTGGTTGCTCAGAGCTTGCATGCACTTGCAAGCTGACGTGGAATAATGTGGAATAGCTGAGGGCAATACCAAACTAGCAGGTACGTGAGTTCTGTATCCAGAACTAATCTCACAAGCAAGAAGTTGAGGTGACTTCGGTGGCACTTGACCTGTTAATGAGCCAGGTGCCCCCTGCGTCTGAAAATCCATCACTCAAGCATGCTTAGAATGTTTTGCTCAAGGTCTCTCACACAAAAGCACCCGTTGTTTAAACAGTGCAATTGACGAAATCATCCTTCCGCAACTGGAACGAAAACATGAAAATCAAATTGAAACTGAGGATGAATTGCCTAAGCATGACCCTGAAACCTTAACCTCAAACTAGAACCATTGTGGCTCACCTGAGTTTTCCAAGCGATCAAAAGTATGCTACAGCGTCTACACAGTTGACAGTCTTCAGGCCATGCGGCTGTAAAAAATCGGCCACGCGTTCGATGCGCCGCTTTTTGACAGATTCGAAAAGAAAACTACGCTGATGTCTCGATGCAGAAAGGCCTGGACTTTGCTCACGTTCTTGGAGCAAGTAAGCACTACAATTCCGAAGAACTTGACGAGAAAGACAAACAAGCACCAGGAACAGAGTTGAGGAAAAGTCAAGCTTGATCAAAGCAAAAAAATCGGAGCCACTTAGCAGGACGAAGGCGCTCCTTGTGAACAATACAAGCCAGCTGCTCTTTATGACTTTATGAGCAAGACGAGCCAAACGCGAGGAACAAAATAAAACAAAACTGGATACGAGCCGCATGTGGAAGAGACAGCAACAAGAAACAAGGAAGACAAGACAGATGAATGACCAAGCACTCGAAGTGCCTCGCAAAAGCGTCCCACAAACGACTGAAAAGTGCCCGTGCATCTATAGCCTGTCCATCATTACAAATCACTCCGTTGGTTAGGCAGCTGTGTTGGCCCTAAGGTAACATTGAAGTGAAGAAAATCCTGCTGCGCTTTTTCCATGGCACCACATAACCTGGAAGTATGGATTAGAGATTGCTGACGCATTCAAATATGTACCGGACGGAGGTGGGGGCTGGGTGGTGCTATACACCATGGCCAAACCCGGCGAGGTCTAATCTAACTTATGCAACATTTTGGCTCTTGGCGTTCAGGCCCATCCTACAAGAAACTGACCGACACAAGAAAACCATGGCAGCCTGGCACGCATGACAAAGGAGTCCCCCTCGTAGTGCCACATACCTGTTGCAGCATACCCATATGGTCTGGGCACCCAATAGCTCAACAGTATATACTCACGTGCCAAAGGATTTACATGGACACCGACCTGCATATGGACATGTACTCGTGATTCCTTGAGCATACATACCGGGTGGCCATAACATGAAAGTGTGCCCCCCTCTGGCTGCCTGTGTTGAAGATACAGGCTTGCTTCAGCAAAGTTGGCTTCACTTTCCTGTAGTGCATCTCGCTGAAACCTGCAGAACAGCAACTGCGCCTGCAAATCCGCCTAAAACCCACTTGGCCTCCAAGGTAACATGGAACCCCCAACAGAGCCAATAACAAAAACGTTCCAAAACAGCGCTGTCATTTTAACGGGTTCCATAGTAGCTTGGTGATGGTTGGGACTTGAAAGCCATGACAACCTGGCAGTAGCATAAGGATGTCTCAGAAGCTTGATCCAGAAATTGCCTTTTGCGCAGGGTCCAAGTGCCCATATGGACTTTGATTTAGACTTCAGGCCCAAGCGAGCTTTGTTTTGACAATTTGGTGTCTAAATGTATCTTATATCCCTTGCGGTACTAGAGTCCGGGGCTATGCTGTAGGTAGATGCTTGGACTTTCAGGCGCACAGTTTGGCCGACAGTCGTGCGAGACGAAGGCAGGCAAAAAGAAGGTGCTGAAACCAATTGGCTCCTGCTGCAGGGCATCGGAACGAGATCTAGGGGTTTGGGTTACAGAAATAGGGTTCTGGCAGAGAAGATTTGAGATGTAGCAACTGCATTGTATCAGTACATTATCGGAAAAAGAAGCCTTGTGCGTAGAGACTTGCATTGGTATGTGATCTGCTGTCTCCCCCAACCGAGTCTGAGGTCAGACAGACTTGTATGAGGGCTGAGCGTGTAAGGTTGCCATGAATCAAGAACACCGCTATCCAAATGGCCAGCATGTTGCTCTTAATCTTTTGGGGCGTTGACCTGGCGAAGATGCTGTTCAATCAGTCAATCTGGAGCCCCTACCTTCAGGTTCCGGGCCCATTCGGTGACTTCAACAAATCCAAGCGTGCTCGCATGAAGTATGAATTAAGCCCGTGAAATCTTAATACTACTTCCAAAGCAAATGAGGATGTGAGTTCAGTTTAGTTGCGCATCTATGGAATTTCAGGTCTCTTGAATTTCGCTCCGTTTAAAATTCTCGGCAGCTTTTTTACCACGCAGAAAGCAAGGCGGGACAGGTGGAAGGCCTGTTGCCATTCCCCTCAGGAGTTGAAATGGTTGTTTCCTCCTCACGTAATCCTCTGGCGCTTTGGCTTAGGCTGTGTGGGCTCTTCGTGTTCGCAGCCCTGGGCCTGTGAGAGCATGCCAACTATGTCAAGGTGGCCGTGGTGAGTTGCCAGGGTCAGAGCGCTTATGTCGTTCATCTTCCTTGCCACATTCACCCGTGCGTCAATGAGCGCGGACACCACCTCAAGGTGACCCCCAAAAGCCGCTACAAAGAGAGGCGGGCATCCACCAGTTCCTTCCTTGTCAGCGCCGGCACCAAGCAAGAGCCGTACCTTATTGCTTCCAAACAGGTGCTGAACAACAGGAATGCTTTTCACAAGTTATCGGTTGCCTTATGAACTGACCACGTAAACAGGTTCCATGTGCCACCTCTGCATGGCCACGACTGGCAGCTGCAGAGACAGGTGTGATGCCATCTAAAACTGTATCCACCAAAGCTCTTGCTTCAGTGAGGCAGCGTGTCACTCCCACATTGCCACGCATAGCAGCAACCAAGAGGGGCGTCATACCCTCAACTGCGGACTCATTCTTTTCGGCACCCGCCTCAAGCAGAAAGCTCACAATGTCACTGTGTCCGCTCCTGGCTGCTGCGAAGAGAGGTGTCCAACCATCTCTTGTGGTTCGGTGCAGTTTTGCTCTGGCCTTGACAAGTGCCTGTGCCACTTCCAACTGGCCCTCCTGCGCTGCAGCTGCGAGGGGTGTAAAGCCGCTGTCTGCCGCCCTTTCCATGTCTGCACGATGGTCAAGCAGCAGCTTTACCAGATTAAGGTGGCCCTGCCTGGCTGCGAGGAGGAGAGGGGACGGTGGTCGAGCATGCTCGTTTGCGTCCGCTCCGGCCTGCAACAGCAAGCGTGCGAGTTCGGGGCTGCCGTCCCGGGCCGCGACGGAAAGAGGAGTCATGCCTTGCTCGGGAGCCTTCTGCACGTCGGCACGGAACTCCAGCAAACAGCGTGCAACCTCCAGGCGACCCTCGCTGACGGCCATGAGGAGTGAAGTGACTCCACCAGTGCTTCCTCTATCCTTGGGTATTGTCAAGCGCTGTAAGGGGTGATTACTTCTAGTCACTAGTCTGTATCGGGTTCAAGTGCAGACAAGGGTGTAAAACGCCTTTAACAACAGCTCAGTATCTTTGTCGGCCTTTGCCTCCACCAGCGCACGTACAACTTCGGCGTGGCCCTGGTCTGCGGCATTCATGAGAGGCGTGATGCCGTGCCTTCCAAAGGACGCATCCCTATCAGCACCAGCCTCCAATAACAGCTTCACACTCTTCAAAGCTCCGCCGAAACTGGCAAGCTGAAGCGCAGATCTTCCGTCAGCAAGCATGTTGGGATCCAGAGGTTGCTGAAGCAGCGCTTCCACCTTTTTGGCATCATCCACTTCGCAAGCTGAAAAGAGATCCCGAAGTTGGGTAGCCTCCGAGCAATAGTCACATTTGACTAGCTGCAATGTTGCCGGCAGGTCCAGGGAGTCATCTTCGAGCAGCATGCGGTCAAACAAACAAAGCTTCAGCCGGAATCGCGAAAGCCCAAGCATCGAAGAAAGCCGGTTCTTCACAGCTCTTACCTGGGTGCACCAGCCACCCGAAACAAGGAGGATGATCCTGCTTCCGCCCAGACATGAAATATGAAAGCATGCAAAGCTTCCCAAACCCCCAAATCCTACACTCTGACAGGTTGCAGCTACCATGCTGCCAGAAGCGGACATGAGTTGCAGATCAGCTTCATCAAAGCTGGCGACCAGCTCGCTGGAGAAGCTGCTCTGGATGCGTAGCATGGCCAACTTTTGGCTTTTAAGGAAACTTCACCAAATAGACTGAGTGCGAAGTCTCGAAGCTGTCAAGAGACAAGGCAAGCTAGTCGGAGGTTCATGTGGAGTATTTACTAGCGCAAAGTTTGCTGCGTTACAAGAAACCTTGACATGGCTCCACCTTTTCAGCACATCTGTGTCTGCCAATTTTGAGGAAGCAGATTCCTTGCATAGGTCTACAACTATCTGGTGCTTCAGTAGCATACGCGTTTAGTGCAGTAGATGGTGGCAGTCCTTGCACAATCTCTGTTTTTGCCCCCTGTAAGCCCAAACCTAACTTGGGACCTCTTTCCAGCCTCCATATTGTTGCCCGTATTATATGGCTCCCTTCAAGGTCTTCGAAGCACTACTTTATGGCATAGGAGCGCTTGGCAAGCCAACGCAATGAAGCACCTCGCTGTGTGTTTCAAAACCAGAAGTATAGCATCTTTTGGGGCGAAGGGCCCAGCTCCCCACATTCTCACCTATCCAACAGAAACACAGCACACATTTCCTGAAGCAGGGAGCCGGCTGTGTTATTTCGTGCTGCGGCAGCATAGGCTCCCGTCTGAGCTTGGCTGAATGGTCCCCGTCTCTTGACCTACCACGGCACTTACGCCGACCTCTTGCTAAGTAACAAATAGAAACATAGCACCCCTTTCTCGTTACATGCAAAGGCGGTATAGCATGCTTGCAGGCCTACAAACCCACAAACCCGGGCTGGTGCAGCACCAACCTCAAAAAACATGGGCGTTTCTCACCTGCAAGTCCGCCTTCTCTCTCTCAAGATCCATGTGAGATACTGTCAATGTTTCGTATACAGTTAGTGGACATGGGTTCCTCTTAGGGAAGATGTTAGGGACTATACTAACTACAACTCATAGGTCTGTTGATAGTCCCTTTGTAACACCTCATCTTCACAGTAGCTCATATGTTCCTTGTTATCTGGATCCCTAGAGCAGGACGAATTATGCTGGAGAACCCGCCATTTTCTATTTTTATCCACAGGAATAACAAGTCACATCCACAAACTAGGATTGCACCAAACTGGAACGTACAAGCAATACACTCCCAGTTTTGAGGTTGAAACCCTATAACCTTCCAAGGGGTCGGGCCTCGCTGTGCTCGAAGCAGTTGAGCAACCACCTCAGCCGCACAGAGTTGTTCTTGGCGGCAGATCGGAGTGCTGCGGGGGCCTAACCAGTCGCCTTGGGGGTTTAAGTCTTCCATCCACCATCTAATTCAGCTTTGGTTCGGCTATGGTCTTGGGTCCTAGTACTCTTCCTTGAGTCATATCGTTAAGTTGTTGAAAGTTCATGCAATGGCGGGAACAGCTTCGTTCGCTGGCCCGATTCAATCTGAAGCACCAACTTGGCCCATGCTGGATGCGGATGCACTGTGATGACTACATGTTATCTGTGAGGAGGCATGACAAGGGTGCTTGACCCATGCAAACATCAACATCTGTGCAAGCAGCTGGTGCCACACAGACTGTTACTGGTCTACAGGTGCCAACTCCTGTGTTCACTTGACCTGAACTGCAAGCTAGGCATGCTATCCTACATAGCTGCAGGAACTGAGTTCATTGTATAAGAGACTAACAGATTGCAGCGTTATTGGAGAAGGGGGCTGATGGGGCCAGTGCTCTATTTGGGCTTGACTGTTCGGTAGCATCTAGCTCATGCTCAGGGCGGCAAAGCGCAAAAACCAGTCATGCAAAAAGAGCCTCTGCCTTGCGGCTTACTAGTTGAAGTTTATTGTTCAGGTTTTGGGGTGTCTCATGCAACCACCTTGTCTCAGGCAATGGGCTGGTCATTTCCATCATGGAACTGGCAGGCGCGCCGCTGAGAAGAATGTCAACCACTTCCAATTCCTCAAAGAAGGAGGAAACCCACCGAAGCCTTGGATCCTAGACGCCGAAACCCAAGCCCAGAACCCTAAAGTCTGAACCGTGACTGCTGAATCCCAGACCCTAAACATGTGGCACCAAGCCACACCGCGAGAAGGCTTTCGAGCTTCAGGCCCAAGGCGGCCTCTCAATTGGGCATAAACTCAGAAATCCAGACCCTCCAGCTGTAGCACTGGATTCCTTCAAGACTTCGTTTATTCCAAAGCTTTTCAAAGTATCACACAAGAAATTTTCTGAGTGGTTTCCAGACCCCACAATCAAGTCCATGCAGTGCTGAGTTGCACGGAGCAGGGCACGTGTGTTGGGGCCTAAGCAGAAGAAGGAAAGAAACTCCCAGCAAGCGCTGTAAAGTCTAAATATGGGTTTCCTAGTTGATTTTCTATGTCTCTATTGTTTTCAAAGGCCTCTTAAACATGGAAGTCGATAGAACAGTCCAAGTGAAAACTACTGGGATTCAAGGATTTCCCGGCCACCAAGAGAATAATTAATACCATCTAGAACATATGCTTTCGACTTGGATGGTCCTAGCAACATAATATGTGGAGTTAGCCTAAACACATTAACCAGGATCCTTTCATGATGTCCCAGTTGGCAGATGCTGGATCTAATAACAGACGTTATATTGCCCCCCCCCCCCCTCCCCCAAAGAAATCTTTCAATGCACCCGCAAAAAAAGAAGATGGCCGTGTGTATCACAAACGGGGTCGAGGCGGGATCGAGACCGCAGCGTCTTAGTACTTTTCGGATGAGGACATGCTAAAGGTACGCTTCAATTTTGCTGTAATGCCCAAGCGGATCAAGCAGCACCCCACTGCTCGCACAGACTGTACCTTCCGTACTAGCGAGAAGCCTTTTCTCCCCGCAACAAAGATGCAGGGGAATCCTAAGCGACTTGAGAGAGGTGAAAGCTCTAGTTTTTTGTTGGTGTTTCTTGTGATTCTTTCAAAAATTCAGCAGAGAAAACGACTCCTCGACTGAACTGTGGCGATTTATTTGAAATCTGAGGAAGGATGGTGAATAAGTGCATGTCTTAGTTACTCCTAGCTAATGCCTTAAGAAGTTTGAAGCTGTTCTGTTCTGCAGTATCGATTCTCTTCACAGGAGAACATGTAGGAACTCCTCCAAGAATTGCTACTTGCAGAAAGTGTAAAAAGGCCAGGGCGCACCTGCGGCGCAGCGCTCTTTAAACGCCTTTTGCATTCATCCTGGAAATTCTCTAGCCTAATCTTCGAAATTCAGATTCCAGAGTTAGGCATAATTCGTATCATCCAGAGTATTGGGAAATCCAGAGAACAACTCAACCATTAATCCATGATTTTTAGGAAACTAACTCTTTCAAATAATTCAAATGCCTGTTGTAACAGTTGAAATGCTAATGCCCGTTGTAACAGTTGAAATTAATTGAAATAAGCCACAAGGCTTTTCAAAATCAAGCATAACTGATATCACGAACCAATACTACTATTTATTTGAACTAACTCAAGTACCAGCATCAACCCAGCGTTCCCCTCAGGGTTCTATCAGTTGAATTACTTGCGTTAGTTCAAATGGATAGTAGCATTGGTTCGTTATCAGTTATGCGTGATTTTCAAAAGCTTTGTGGCTTATTCCAACTAGTTTTCTCGTATTGGGAATCGTACCAATGTTTTGGAAAGCAAAGGAGAACCCAATTGTTAAAGCAATGGGAGAGTTTGCAACAAATTGTTGTACACGCGATTTCCACAACTCGACATAATCTCTGCCAACATAAATAAGGACCACTTCCTGTAGTTAAGCTGTTCAATCTTTGTTAGCTCGTTGAACTAACTTATCTAAAGTACAGGCTCTTCCACCATCACAAATCAAGCTAACTGTTTACGTAAATGCAGTTACCCGATTACTCAATAGCATTGGCACTTAACTTGTAGCACTTCAACCATTTAGGCACTCCGGTCTGTTTAAGATGAATATATTTTGAGGGTTGCCCAGTATCAACCCAGCATTCTCCCCATGGTTCTATTAATTGAATTACTCGAGTTGGTCCAAATGAATAGTAGAGTTGGTTCGTGATATCAGTTACGCAGCTTGATTTTGAAAAGCTTTGTGGCTTATTTCAACTAATTTCAACTGTTACAACGGGCACTGTCATGTTATTCAGGTTCTATTAAAAGAAATCATGTGTTAGGATTTTTTCCGAATTTCATTTACTTTGGGTAATATAAGTGGTGCATAACTATCTACTGAGTTTGAATTCTTAAGTTAGGCTAGAGAGTGCGCGCTCACAGAATTGAGGACGAAAAATCTTGAGGGAATGGAGCCGGGAATTCTATATATATATATGTATATATATATAGGAACCCTGTATTCTCATGTAAGGGAAATTGACGGAACGAAAAAAGTTCGAGACCCGAGTTGGATTACTATAAGCCTGAATCAACCAAGGCGAACGAATTGGAAGTTGGAAAGCCGGAAAAGCACAAAACAAAAACTATAAGCAAATACACAAATCGAAAAAAATGCAAAAACCAAAAAACCAAACCAAAAAAAAACACAAAACCAAAAAAAATTAAAAACAAAAAAACCACACACACAAAAAAAGAATCAGGACTCTCCAACAAAGCCTACATACTTCACCATGTTCCAAAAGTCTGTTTTTTTTGGTTTTGGTATTTTTGCTTTTTTTGGTTTTGGTATTTTTGTTTTCTTCGGTTTGGGTATTCGTTTTTTTTTTGGTTTCCAGCTTTGTTTATAGACTGGCCTTGCCTGCTCCATCTAGTAGAGAAAGTAGTTGTTGAGAACCATACTTGCTAGAAAAGTGCTAAAACGCTGCGGTCCTGATCCCGCCTCTAGCCCACAAACG